TTCTCGCCTTCGGGCGGCATACGCGTCTTCGGACGATACTCGCCTTCGGGCGGCATACGCGTCTTCGGACGATACTCGCCTTCGGGCGGCATACGCGTCTTCGGACGTTACTCGCCTTTGGGCGGCATTCGCGTCTTCGGACGTTACTCGCCTTCTGGCATCATACGCGTCAGCGGACGCCTCTCATTTGTGAGCAGTATATTTAACCAGTTTCTAGCGGTTATCATTCTTTTTCAGAACAGCAATAAAAACTTACTTGTATTGAGCTTATTACAACGTCAAACTTGTTATTTTTCGGACCTCCTGGTGCCGCAACCAGAATTCATTGCGTTTGAAATTAGTCATAATTATAATCAAACATTTTTGGTCCTTCGAGCCGGATAGCGTGCGCCAGGATAGATTGCGTTACGAAAGCTCATACCGAATAATTACGCTGTCATCATGTCTCAGATTAATTCTCGAATTCTTTTACAACAAAGTCGTTTTCAATTGATTCAACAAGCCATAGAGTTCGACCCTGACGATGACTTATTTCCGGGCACGCGTCAATTCATTACTACGCAGCTAAATTTATTAGAGCACAACTGGACGAAGTTCCAACAGGAACACGAGGAAATATGTTATTCCGATTTCGCAGACTTGATAGATCATCCGTATATGAAGACTCGCACCTTCGAGCGCTGTCAAGAATTCTATCTTCACGCAAAATCCAAATTGTTAACGAAACAAGACGAAATAGAGGAGTCAATGCATTCTCGCTCAACTTCTTCGGACGTTGGCCCTGCGAAATCCGGGCTTCGTCGATTAAATGCCTTACCGAAGATTTCTCTGCCTAGATTTTCTGGCAACTCCAGCGAATGGAGATCGTTCCGCGATTTGTTTTCGTCCCTTATTCGGGACAACGTAGAGCTTTCCGAAGTAGAGAAAATGCATTATCTCCGGACTTCGCTCTCTGGCGATGCCTTACGTTTCGTAACGAATTTACCGATATCGGGTGCTAATTTTGCTATCGCTTGGGAGACGTTGGTGTCACGTTATGCAAACAAACGCATTTTGGTTTCCGCTCATCTCGACAATCTTATGAACTTAAAACCACTGAAAAGCAAATTCGCGGCTGATCTGAGTTCTTTCATTGCTACCGTCTCTGAATCCCTGGGAGCTCTTCGTGCGTTAGGATGTTCCGTAGAACATTGGGACCCGATCTTGATACACCATCTGGCCAAATTACTAGACGCCGATACACGAGAAGCCTGGGAATTGAAGCAAGGTACTTCTACTTCCTATCCTACTTACGCAGAATTTGAGGAGTTTTTGTTGGGAAGATCTCGAGCATTGCAGAGTTTATCATCACATCCTTCGGGTTCGAAGAGGGAAAACGACAAGTGTAATAAGAGTATTTCCTCCAAAAGGTTTGCCGTTCATACCGCTACAGCTTCAAACCTTGCGGATTCCAAATGCCCTATCTGTTCGGAGTCACATCATCTAGCTGGCTGCAAACGCTATCAATCCAAAACGTTGCGTCAAAGGAGCGACTTAGTTTCTGAGCGTAGAAGATGTTATAATTGCCTCGGCGCCCATCCGATACGTCAGTGCAAAAGTCTGAAGCGATGCTTTAAATGTGGTAAGAAGCATCGTACCTCTCTACACCGTTCTGTTGAGAAAGGACAGTATACCGAAGGAGCATCACGTCAGTCTCACACGAAGAACGTCGCTACCGCCGATGAGAGCGCTCACTCTACAAAGTCTGACTGACTATTGGAGGCCACCGGACACCACGTGCGCTTAGATTCTATCTTCTGAAAACCCACGCTTCTTGCGACTTGTAGAGCGGTCATCAACCAACCAGGCTATTCGCCTTATGTTATTCGAATTCTGCTGGATCAAGGCTCCGAATTATCGTTCATTACCGAAGATATCGTTCAGCGCTTGAAGATTGCTCGACGCGCCGCATCGGTTCCCCTCATCGGGATTGGCGGTGTACATTCCGGTCGAACTCGCGGACTCGTTACTGTTACCTTACATTCAATTTACGATCCAGATGCTACGTGCACCATCGACACATATGTATTGCCCAACCTCTCGGCAAAATTGCCCACTTTTGATATGGAATGTCCTTCGTGGACGCATACTGACGGATTACGACTCGCCGATCCGGAATTCTATCAACCGTCCAACGTTGACGCGCATCGGAGCAGACAATTACGGTGCTGTCATTTTAGAGGATATTATTCGTGGCAAACCCGAAGAACCGATAGCTCAGAGGACCCTGTTTGACTCTCCGGACCCGTTTCTGTTTCGGAAGTTACTGGATCCGCTTTGGAATATCACTGCTCGCCAGATACCGAATTACGAGAATCCCTTACTCGATTTTGGACTCAGGAAGAGGTGCCGTCATCGAGTGGCCTTCACTTGGACACAGTACAATTGGACACGCTGCAAATAGACACGGTTCGAATGGACACAGTTTGGTGTACACGGTTCAATTGGACACGGTTCATTTAGACACAGAAATTTTAGACACAGTGATTTTTGGACACATAGAAAATAAATTTTCGACACGGTGCAATTAGACACGTAATAATGTACACCGTTCATTTCTACACACAAAAGTTGACACCGTTCATTTCTACACACAAAAGTTGTACACCGTTCATTTCTACACACAAAAGTTGTACACCGCTCACTTGTACACCGCTCACTTGTACACCGCTCACTTGTACACCGCTCACTTGTACACCGCTCAGTTGTGCACCGTGTTTATAACATGAAATTTAAGGCAAACTGTGATTCTAGATGGGTTTCGAGTGTTTATAACATGGAATTTCAAACAAACTGTGACTCTAGAT